CTGGCCGCCCGGAGGTGGACGCGTCTCGACGGAACTTGCCATCCTCTTGGACTTCGCCGCGCGCTCCGCATCAGTCCTCCAAGCCCCTGGGCGCTCTGTGCCCAGGAGCCACCCCCCACCACACGGCAGCTGGGGGAGCCCCGAATCTTGCCTTCGACTCCAACCAGTGCCTCCACCTGATCTGAACCTTCCGACCCCATTCTGCGCACACCCAGGCAGTCCTGCCTTTTTCTCTTTGGGTGTCTCCAGCACTCCCCAAAATTTCCCCTCCTCCTGTGCCCTCTTCACCCCCCTCCTTTGGGGGCCCCGTGACCCTGAATGTGGGGGGCACGTTATATTCCACCACTTTGGAGACCCTGACTCGCTTCCCAGACTCCATGCTGGGGGCCATGTTTAGAGCCGACACCCCTATTCCCCCCAACCTCAACTCCCAGGGCGGGGGCCACTACTATTTCATCGACCGGGATGGCAAGGCCTTCCGGCACATTCTGAATTTCCTGCGGCTGGGCCGCCTGGACCTGCCCCTGGGATATGGTGAGACAGCGCTTCTCAGGGCAGAGGCCGACTTCTACCAGATCCAGCCCCTCCTAGATGCCCTGCGGGAACTGGAGGCCTCTCAGGGGACCCCGGCACCCACAGCTGCCCTGCTCCACGCAGATGTGGATGCCAGCCCCCGCGTGGTGCACTTCTCGGCGCGCCAGGGCCCCCACCACTATGAGCTGAGCTCTGCCCGGGTGGACACCTTCCGAGCCAACCTCTTCTGCACCGACCAAGAGTGTCTGGGTGCCTTGAGGGCCCGATTTGGTGTGGCCAATGAGGAGAGAGCAGAGGGAGGACCACACTTTCGTCTGGAGTGGGCCCCCCGCCCCAGGGAACTTCCGGAAGTGGAGTACAGGAAACTGGGGCTGCAGCCACTGTGGACTGGGGGGCCGGGAGAGCGACGGGAAGTGGCCGGCACGCCGGGCTTCCTGGAGGAGGTGCTCCGGGTGGCTCTGGAGCATGGCTTCCGGCTGGACTCCGTGTTCCCTGACCCTGAAGACCTACTCAACTCCAGGTCTCTGCGCTTCATCCGACACTAAGAACTCAGCTGGGAATACTGCCCTTGGTTTGACTCTAGTGGGGTTGGGGGCGGGGGGGACAAGGGGACAGCAAAGGGGATGAAGGCTCCCCTGAAGCCCTTTCCCAGCTCTGCTTTGGGGCTGTGAGTCAGAGGTCCCACTGCACCTGACTGGAGCCTCAAAGTGGGCGGGACTCCCCAACTCAAGCCCACTGAGGGCTCACAAGCGGTATGGAGGGGCTGGACCGGTGCCCATGCTGGGAGGGCCGGCAGGTTGCCCTGGCTCATTCTCGCCTGAGCCTGGGGACCTCCAATGTCCTTGGTTGGAGTTCAGTATTCAGGGGTCTGGGAAAGTGGGGACACTTCTCTGCCCAGGCTAGGCCTAGCAGAACAATGCCGGGACACAGGCCTGGAAGGAGGAGGGACTTGGGGTTGCTCTGATGTGGTCTCCTGGACTGTGACTTTTCCTGAGTGGCCTGGCCTGGCCTGGCCTGACCGATGACATAAGAAGGAACACAGGGAGGGAGAGTCTTTGCTGTGTCCCAAGTCACCTACTGAGGGAGACAGAACAGCTGCACCCCACCCCCGGCTGCAGAAGGGAGCTAGGAGAATCCCTATTCACTATGGGGTGGAGCATCCCTCTGACACCCACGTTCTTTAAAGGATCTGGTATTGAGGGTGGAGCTGGCCATGGGGAGGAGGGCAGCATCTTTTTGGGCCTTGGCCTACCTTCCTTCATGTGTACGTGCGTGTTTGTGTGTGTGTGACTGATGTGTGAGTCCCTGACATCCGGGCTTCCATCTGTGTTGTGGGCAATGGTGTCTGTGTGCTGGCCTTTCTGTGGTCTCCGCATGTCCAGGCCTGTTTGAGGTTGCTCAGAAGCTGTTTGGGCACCAGGTGTGTCTATGGGTGTGAGTAGACTGAAAATTAATAGTTTAACCACAAGGGGTGTGTATGTATATGCATACACGTGCGTTCACGTCACCATGGATGCAGGAGGGGCCTGTTGGGGTTTAAGTCCCTGGGATCTTCCTGGTGAGAGGGGTAAGAGAAGTCACTGGGCTTAGTGGGCCCTTGGAGACCTTTATGGAATTCTTGGTTGTTAAGACAACCGTGGGCCTGTTGCTAGGAGATAGCTGGGGAAAGACTCGGCGGGGCTGCTCGGAGCAGAGAGGAGCTGAAGAGAAGAGTTTGGGAGAGTCGGCGAGGATATGGGAAGGGGTGGGATTTTTGCATCTCTGAGGGGATGGGATATTCATGAACAGCTTCTCTGGGGAGCCGCTTATTATTTATCACAAGAAGAAAAATAAAGTTGCTTTTGGAACCACAAACTTGTCAAGTGCTGTCTCCCTCGCAACAGAAGTCCTGCTTTCTCTGCCCCTCTCCCGTCAGCACATCAATGTTGTCTTCTGGTCCCCAGTCCCTCCGGCCCCAGGTTCACCCAGGCCAGGGAAGGAGCAGTGGCACTGTTCTGGAATGCTCTAGAACCTCCAGCTGTTCTGGAACTCTGCAACTTTCAGGCAAAGGGCCAGAGCCAGGATCGCAGAGCCTTCCTGTCCCAGGTGGTGCTGGCACCACCACTGGGCCTCATGTGGACGCTGGCACTAAGTGTGGCTCTCCTGGAGGCTGCCCAGGCCTGTCTCTTCTGCCGCCTCCCAGCGCATGGCTTGTCGGGCCGCCTGGCTCGGCTCTGCAGCCAGATAGAGGCCCAGTGGGAGGACTGTGAGGCCTCCTGGAACTTCTCCACCTTTGCCTTAGGTAAGTCCAGCCTCCAGGGACGGGCTCAGCAGTAGTCACCCCCATGCCCCTGCAGGGCAGCCTGTGGCTTCCCAGCTGTGCCCTCAGCTGAGTCCCGGGACTCACTGTCCTCTCCCTCTGGGAGGGCTTCTTTGGACCGTGGCAGTCAAGGAAGAATCTTCTTCTGGGCTGATGAGGAATCATGGTCCTTGCCCATCCCCATAGATGAGGAGTCCATGAACAAGGTCACGGAGAAGACTCACAGAGTCCTGAGGGTCATGGGTGAGGTCACTGGGGAGGCACAACCTGGGGGCTTGGACGGACCGAGGAGGGGGCTGGGAGGAGGGGGCTGGGCGGGTAATTTTCTTTCATCTCTGATACTTCTATTATAGAGAAAGGGCAAATAGCAATATTAAAATATTTCCTCTAATTCCCTTTTAATGTGCACGAATTTTGTGCACCGGGTCACTAATAATGCCTATAAAAGAACATTTAAGTTACAGTGTGCTGTTCTAAAATTAAGCCTCTGGTCAAAACCGATTTGGCTCAGTGGATAGAGCATCGGCTTTTTGACTCG